GTTAAACAGAACTAAAATTGCACTCGAATTCCTGTTTCGAAATTAGCCCAAACAATGGAAGAAGCCGTTTCAATCACAACAATGGGATTGCTTTATTTGTTCAAACTAATGGAATTTTGTCGAAGCTAGTGATGAATCTTGGATTTTGCATGAACCTAAGTTGAGTCTAAGGTCGACCTTTAAGTTGAGCTATTGTAGATTTTCGAACCGAATTAGCTTCGTTAGTTTGATTGTCATTGGTTGAATTCTCCTTGCGGCTGTTTGGTGCGAAGTGGCAACTGTACAATTTACAATGAATAATGTAATAGGAAGTGCGAGACATATGACTTATACTTAGGCCGTTTGCTTGCTATTAGTTAATAATTTATACGATGAAATCGATAGCCGTAAATTAATGCCAGTTTCGCAGTATCCATAATATATTAAGTAGACATTTAATTTAATTGTAAGCTGGGTGTGCTTTTATTTTCCGACATCCGAGAGTGGTTTATGTGTGTGTGTAGGATTCTCAGTGGATTTATTTGTTCGACTGAGTTCATTCACCAGATGATACCCGCCCGCCTAGTTGATTCGTTCAACAATTTTGGACAGATTATCGTAAACAATTCATTACGATATCAATTATTAGAGATGGTGATAGTTCCATTAGTTCCTTATGGTGCAATCAGATGACCCAATGAAAGCTGAGTATTTCTTGTTCTAATCGGAGAATTCGTGTAACAACAAGTAAATTGGTTGGATCACATGATGTTCCTTTGATAAGTATACTGCGCTCACACCCCTTCTCTCGCACACACATACACTTATGAATCAAAATGAGCTGGTTTTTTTGTTTGTTGAGTCATGCGACCCAATTACAAACGACCATCGAGAGTAAGTGGAAATGTCTGAAGTTAGAATGTATGCCAATCACACGATATATCGTAATTTCGATTGAATAACTTCCTACGATTACACATAAAAATAAATAACACGTTGAACTTGATCGAATCCACACATACAATACACTCTCATACACACCGAAAATTCACTTGGTCTTGTTGTCATGCTGTATTTCATTAAATTAGAAATTCCATGCAACTGCTCTGCCACAAGCTGAGTTTCATTCAAAACAGTATGGATCCGGCAAACTTTGCAAAGGAACTTTCGCGCTCGAATCGTTTTCTCTCCCTTCTTTCCGCTTCTTTCTCGGTATACAGAGGATATCCATTTCAGATATGGACAAGCAGCAGTGCTCCGCTTTGGAAAAATTCGATGTATGAATGGTCAAAGTTATTGTAATTACAGTGTGAATTTCGTTGAAATTGACACAAGTGAACTTCTATTTCAAGTTGAGTTGGTCAAAAGTTTTTCCATTGTTTGCCAACTATTTTATTTGACTTTTTTCTTGTTATTTCATTTTGCAAGCAAAATGGCAATATAATACTGCGCACTGGGTTTTATCAAATATTTTCAAACCCTCGTTTTCGTTGGATTTCATTCTCCAAAACAAACTTCTTATCCTCTTTGCTTTAGTAAGTTGTACCGTTCATGAGATTGTTAGTTCTAAACAGACAAAAATCGGAGATAGGAACTCTTTGCGGTGGCATGATGAAAAAAGATAGAAATGACGATGTAAACTAAAAAGAGATGAACATGCTTGGTCTACGTTGAATTGCGAACAAATTAGAATTTCAAATATAGGAGGGATTTAATGTTAAAGTATGATAGATTATTGTGTTTTTTTCTACTAGATAAGTTGAACTTCAATCAGTGGTATTTTCTTTGAAGCATTGTCTTCGAATAGGGTTATCGTTTGCTTGCTGCAAACGATGAAAAATGCGCTTGAGTTGAAGGGCAGCTTAACAACATGCGCAACCCCTGCACTACACTAACAAAACAAAGTAAAACACGAATTTTCGATGAGCGCATTCATTTCAATTCTTTACGTCGTTAGACGCACTCATGACAGCGACAAATTGAACGCATGTTCCGTAATGGAAAAAACATTTTTTACTTATAAAATTGATGTTTATCACATCCTACGCTCTCACAAAATTCAATTTTGCACATTCTTCGCATTTTTATTTTTTTGTCTACTTTATTAACAAATATAAAAAAGATTCAATAGTACATTGAACGATCTGAGTCACAACTTTTGACACTTGTCTCGTAGTGCTAGAAGTGAGCTGTCAGACGCTCAGATGCAGGACCTTCGACAACATGTCATCATCAACATATATTGATACATTGAATACGATACATTTCAATTGTTTGGATGGAATCAATGGAACTGAAGTAAGCCAAAATGAACCTTTCAACCCAAATATGCAATGCGTTGGAAAGTAGTTTACATCGTTCGTTTATGGCAAACATTTCAAATATTTATATTGAATGTGCTGGATTTCTACACGGTGCACTACATCCGACACCAAACGCCATTGGGCAATTTACTATAAGCTTTAAAGTTAATTTTGGAAAATGTGAATAGTGGAAGGAAAAGCAAACACAAATATAGGTAGCAAAATGAATGAATAAACAAACAATCGCACAGCACACACACACACACAAGGAAATGCTAGTAAATTATTAATGATTACATGACACTCGATGCTCGACGCTGTAGCACACGTAACGCGCCTATATCCCGATTCGGTGGTGGAGCACGTGTTGGAGGCGTACATAAGCTTTGACTTCGATCGCGTACCGATTCTTCGCGATACGCGCGAAAAAATGCGGCCAATTTTACATTGAAACATAGCATCATATTCATGGTGGACAGAATATTTGTAATCGTATTTTGTCGCTACGATGGAATTCGATTGGTTGGTTGAATGGTTTTAACGGGTTCTTTCTCTCTCTGTGTCTCTCTCTCTCTTTCTCTGCGATTTCTCACTTTTACTGTGTGTACCAGAATGATGGCAGTAAATTCCAATTTGCCGATTTAATCATTTATACCCTTATCGTTGACACACTATCGCTTCGCCCGTTATTCGTTCCGCAGATATTTCTTTCTGTATCTCGATTCAATGTTGCCTTCACTTTTACACACACATACACTATTTGATTGAATTTATGTTCGTAGAATTCACGTTTATCCAATTTCACTTTTCCACACCGAATGGCAATGAATGTTCACAAGCCATTATCTATTTTTTTTTCTCTCCCTCTAAATACCATGCGTATCTTTTTTATGTGTACTGTTGCTCTGTTGAATGTCTCTTGCACACCATATTTTACACAATTATTGAAATGATAATAAAAGTACACGTATTGCGATAGTTTGATTATTGCGTTGAGCCATAAATTTACTGCGTTGCTCCATCTTCATTACATTTACGATGGTCGTATGTTTGATATTTTCGTTTTGAATGGTGTGACCGATGAAGACAGCTTTTAAGCCGCCGCTAATTGATTGCCACATAAATGTTATCCATGTGGTGTTTCTGGCTTATGCCATCTAATTGATTCGTTGTTTTTTTATTTTTCTTTATTAATTATTATTATTCTAGTCGTTTATTCGTTGCTTTCTTTCACAATTGTTGTATCAGCTGCTTGAGTGTGATAACAATTTCTTTCTGTATAAATAAAAAATAACAACCACTAAATCAAAACCAATGCCGGATTATAATGTCGTTATAGGCGTCGTCGTTGGCGGTATCAGAAGCATTTCCACTGCCATTTCGATAAGGCGTGCTAAGAAGCTTTTTGCCAGTTTGCAACTGGACTTTTGTTGATACGATCTCTTGTTCTGTTCAACAAACACCATCAACACTGCCCAATATCTTTTTGTATGCATCTTGTTGAATGGGGAGGATTTAAGTGTAGCGGAGCATTTTTTTTTCATTATTCTTTACATGTCGAATGCCCTGCAGAAGTGAACAGAATTATTGTGAAGTGTTAAATTTGCGCATGCAAATGTTTTTATCGCTGGATTAAGGCGCGAACACGACCATCACTGACTTTAATGAAGACATCTCCAGCAAGAGGAGATATTGAGAACGAATGTGAGTTGGAAAAAAAACGTCACTCGGAATTTGTCAAGTGTTCTGAAAACAATTTTAATGAGATACATAACAAGCAACGTGGCAAACCATTAAATTCTCTGCCAAATATGTTTTTGTCCCAATGATTAAAAGCGACAGTCGAGAAAAATACACAAAGGAAAATAAAACAGGTCTCAAGTAGATTCGCCGCTGTAAAAACATTTATAATGGCTCCTGTTGGAGAAAAACTCATCTTGATTATTTTTTGCCACCGCCGCCGTTCTTTCTTCTATTTTTCTCTCACTCCCCTTTCATGTAGCGTTTAATACACTTAACCTCATGCCTATTGCTTAATGTTCACTAAACGATGTACACTTTGTGCCAGTTTATGAATGGAAATGTTGTTGATTGTATCTAATTTTCGAAATTGCCCATCCTTTGGCATCATTGCTCTACGTATGAATCATGGTGTTCCATGGAGATGAACGAATTGGTTCGAGTTCTTGATTCCGCAAATACGACAATTTATTTTCCTCTTCTTTTCACAGAATAAATGAACGTTCAAACATAATGTGTTTTAAATAAATTCAGTGATCGCTCGCATTGCGACAAATGCAAATTTATTTTCATGCTCCGAATTGGCATCATTTCGGAAGACGGTGACAAACAACGGATGATAGCGCAAAGCGTCTCTCAGATATGTAAATTTATTTCATTTCACTCGTACATTTTGCCAGACGAATACACACACACACACACGCAACTAACAAAAACAAACAAATTGTGTAATAATTTGCCACCTGTAAAATATCTCAAGCACATTGACGTTCAGTGTGCCAATGTGTGAAACATACTAAGTTTAGCCATCTATCTATCTATCTCATTTTCAACTAATACAGTTTGACTGTATGGTTTTTCACATGAATCGTGCATTGTTCACTTGACGTGATTACCACAGATTGCAATTTATAATGAATTCTACGAAATTAATTTACTAGAGCACACACGCATCCACAAAGTTCTCGAAACTGGTGATGATAATTTATGGTTTAAGTGACATTTCACAGCGGTTTTCCACTTAATTATAGACTATAATTTAATATATTTTAAAGTTTGAGTCACCACTTTATATCCCAAATTGGATTTATCCATAAATTATTATGACATAAAGGAGAGATATGCATTGCGACTCGCAACATTTTCCGTTCATGCCAGTCATTTGCTTTTCGAATTTTAGGCAGCAGTCTGTAATCAAATGAAAATCAAATCGAATCAAATCCAAATTGTGTTCCGTAAACATTTGGCGTTATTTGCCTAACGAAAATGGAAACGGGGCCGGATAAATAAATGTATTGATAATTATTCATATTCATCCAGGGCGGTTTTGTAGAAGCTTTTGCTCATCAAAAGACAGCACGTAATAATTAAATGACTGAAAGCTTATCTTGGCTGGCCATTTTACTTGTGCGTTGAATAACCGTTTTATTTGTATATGTGCAATCCAATTTTTCCTTCCAATTTTGATTTATGTGTCATAAATTACGATAACTTCAAACAATATGCACTAATTGGTTCTGACTTCCTATGACTATCATTTTTGGTGAGCACAAAAAGGTCGAATCACACATCTCTTTTCTACCTTCGAGCTTAATAATACAAATGTTGTAAAATGATTTTTAGCCTAGATTTGACTAATGACTTTCACAAACAGTATTTTAAGCTCCAATGATTCTCCGCATAAAAAATCAAGCGGCAATATTGCTTAAGCAATGTCACGAATGCGCACAACAATTGAACTGAGATCCAATGATATCCATAGAAATGTTTGCGTGTCCACAAACCAGTCTATACATTTTCAATAGTTCGTTAGGTTGATGAATAAACATGCGATTCGTATTTAGCAAGGCACCGGATGAATAGCAATGGTTCTCCCCATTCCGTCCATTCAATGTGTCTAATGAATTGACAGTCGAAATGTGTAACGTGATAAATTGAAAGAAGAAAAAAAGAAGAGAGAATCGGAACGGAAACGAGCACACAAAATAGAATGAATAAAAATGCCCGTATGAGCCGATGAAATGAATAGAAATATAGAAAGAAAGAAACGACGAGCCAATATTTGTCTAGTAAGATAATTTCGAGTTGATAAATGGCGTCGAATTTTCGATGGTGAACACCGATAAGAAGCGACTGATTATCCAGATCCAATGGTTCAATTCCAGCGAAATATATATTTTCTCGAATGATGACTTTCGTTTGCCGTTTGAATGAAATATTTGGCATTGTGTGCCTTGCTAAATGACCATTAAACTGCTGCCCAAGCAAGGCAAATAAAGAAATAAACTCGGTATCTGAAGCCCAATAATAAAATATACGCTGAAGAATAATTAAGTGATGTCAGAACGTGGTAAACCAATGTTATGGATCTCGAATGATATACGAGTTCAATGAGGTGAATTGAAGAACTGCTTGAAAAGTTGGTCGAATAAAAAGGTATATTTTATGAGAGGTTTGGCTCCTGGTCAGAATCGAAATCACGAGTATTTACCAGCAATAATCAGAAACAGTGGGTATAACTCGGATGTTGTTGAGTCAGATGGAAGTGTGATGAGCAGTGAACACAAAAACCGGCCGATTGACGCCATTTGGCATTTCGATACCTCTAGGTCAATCAATCCGACTTTGTGCTGGCATTCAAAGAAACTGCTGCGCTTAAAAATCCAGTTTACCTCAGAATATTCGGCTGTATTCATTGATTCGATGTTACACACATCTTGGATTTGGGTTTTATTTTTATTTTTTTTTCGTTCGAGTGGCTCATATCGGTTGATATCATTGGGTTCAAACTTTTATTTTTATCCTCTTCTACAATTGCTCAGTGTATGCTGACCATTTTGTATTTCAATATGCTCTAAGCGTTTCGACAGCTTTATTCAATATTTATGACGCTGTTGCGACTGAATTCGCTCAGTTTTCGATTAAAAAAAAAAGGACAACGATGGTCATGATTATAATCAAATAGAGCAATAGAGCAGCAAAGCAACAGTACAAACTGTAAAAAAAACCAATCGCATGGATAGGGATCATTGAACAAACTCGTATTCGTATTTTTATGAACATCCGACTATTCACTCCCTTTTTCTTTCTCTCGAACAGAACGACCGAAACTTTTCTGCCATTTCTATTCGAAACACTATTTCGTAGCTTGATTCAAAAAAAAGGTCAATGAAAAAGCGTTGTTGGTATCGTTCTCGGTGGCAACGTTCAGTGTGCGATGCAACCGGCACAAATAATCAATATTTAGGCAATAATAATAATAAATATTCTGGTAGTTGGATTTCCTTTATTTAGTTTGTTTACATTTACAAGCTTGATGGTAATCAGGCCATTGAGAATCATGAAAGCGTGGGGAAATTTTTTGATTCAATGAAATAAAATGCCGTTCAAAGATGAATTGATTCATGGAACTGTGTCTGAAATCGTCAATCTATAATTGAAGACATTCCACACCAGACCAGACCATCGAAGTTCACTGTACGTTATTTTTTCTTTTAATTTAAATGTAAATACACTTCCACTGACTCAGTGCTATGCTGCTTGTCTAAAGAACGTGTGAAGACTTTATACCATTTGTGCTTTTTGCAATAATATGGTGCCACCATGATTATTTACCAATCAATAGTACTGAAGTACAGCGTATTTGAGTACGTGACTTCTCGACTACTGCTTGAAAGCACAATGGTATAAAAATCTGCAAGAATTTACGCCTCGTTCTTTAATTGGAATTCGGTTCATTCAAACCACTCCGTAAGTTGATTCATTGTTCGAAGCGTCAATTGCAAACCTTAACAAAGCATTGACACCATCAATTGAACATGCTGTCACCGCAACACATTCAGACTTTAATAAAAACTTTTGTGTTTAAATCTATAGATGCGCTCAACAATTTTGTAGCTCAATATTTTTGGGGTAAGACATAAAACATTTATCTCATTCCATACTAAACCACTCTGGAGTGTCTTTTTTTCATTTGGCAAATGAAAAAATGTAAATATAGCACGAGATGTTGGTCTAGTCTTTCTAAACGTGAGTGATGTCAGAAACGAAAATATATTTATATTTAGATGGCTTTATTTTATGTCATTTTTATCACGTTTACTGTGTGTTTTTTTGTGACGTTCATCATTAAATTGAGGTTGTTCTTTCGGTTAAATATATCTCTTTATGGTTTATTATCACAGTCTCAAAAGAAGGTATTTTCGTTTGAAATATTGGCCTATTTTGCATTCCGCCACAGAAAGAACAAATGAAATTTGGCACTATATCATCGCAAACTCAAAAAGTGTTCTGCCACGTACTTGCGAAAAAAAAATCGCGTTTATTGTTCTGTGCAAATAGTACCCGCTGTACAAGTATGACACACAGTGTATGTATATGTGTTCATTCTTATTTTTTTTCATCGTTTCCTTTACATGACTAGCTACTTTGATTGTGTTAGCGCATACATGCAAATGACATTACGTAACCCTAAACATGGCATGATATTTGAATGGAATAATAATGGGGCGAAACATCACTACGGTTTACCGCGTTTAAGTGATAGGCAGATAAACACATGCAGTGCATTTCAATGTGTAGAAGAGAATAGAAAAAGTGGCAGTCGTCGCTTACTCACACATCAACCGTCGATTGATAAAAGTGATTTTGCTTTATTTATTTATTACGTAAGTGATATACCATACATCTACCGTTTGACGCGGTCTGGTTTATTTTCGGTGTAAAACTCAATACACACAGGTATTTTACATTGACGAGTTTTCATTGATTAGTTTCTCTCCATTGATTCAGCGGCATTAAATCTGGATGGCATAACAGCGGATGTGTGTGAGTGTGTGTTTGAAACAACAATGCTTCTGTACATTTCAACGCGTGTTCAAATCGACGTAACTTCTCGGCTTTATTTCTAGAAAAATAATAATGGCCGAGCATATAAATAGAGTTTTGAACTTTTTACCCGTAGGCTGCTTGCCGAATTACGTGATAAAGTGTAATGGCTGAAAGTGTATGACACACTCAACATACACAATTCAAGATTTAATCAGACTATGTGCTGTGACAGCGATATCGAAGCGTTGCTCAATAAAAACTGCATCATGCAGTCAGGCGGCACAAGTCTGCAAGCAAATAGCCATCTTATTACAAAATCTGAATTAATTAACACATGCAAATCAAACTGCAAAGCGTAATGGGGAAAAAAGGACGAGCCGTTTACACGAACTCTGATGCAATTAAAATTTCTTTCAGCACAACGAAATGTCATAATGTTTGATTGGCATTGCATGCAATATTTGTGTGCAATTTGTTGAACAGATTCATAAAATGTCGGGCTCAACACTATACTCTACATGGATGGCATATATTGTCGCCATATGATTTCATGTCGAAACTGGGATATTTTTTCAGTACAACTTCATTTCGTTTGGCAAAGTATTTCATTGGCAATGTGAAAGTGTCCTGTTAAGTTGTGAAATGCATACACACACGACGACCCCATGAAGGAGAAGAATTAAAAAAAAACGGGAACCACATGCGCTCATTTCAAGTGAGTGCCAGAATACGAAAACAGCGACAAACCGTCTACTAGTTGCCATTTGGAAAATTGGTCAAATGTTTTTTTTTTGCGTTTTCACAACTTCATGCCATTAAATTGGGTGAGCTCAATTTTGAAATGCATACATTGTGGCAGAAAAGCCACGAAGTGTGTTTAAAATTGAGGTATGTAAGCCAGAGCACATGCATAAACTAAGAGAGCTTTTGCGCATGAAAATGCATGGCAGTTAGTTTTTGCGTAATGCAATTTTTAGCAAACATTGTTTTGAGTTTCACACAAGAGCCACACAACAACGTGCATATACGTAGCGATTGAATAATAGAAATTCAGTGAATGTGTTCATTTTGGTATTTTCTGTGGTGAAATGTAAGGACGATATCACCACCAAACTAAGGATTTTGCTTATAAAACAAGCACAAATCAGTGGAAACTCATTAACATTTATCAAAATCAAAATATATGTGATTGAATGATGCATAATGAGCACATTGTTCACTATTATTTGTGGCCTTTCGCAAACCCTTTGGATTAGCATGTACACGCTCGTTTCAAAACTAGTATGCGTATGCAAATGAATAAAAGAACGCATCGAAAGTATAGAGTAAATCGAGTTATTTATATAACTATAGAATAGGCAAAATGACGCAAAGTGAAATCATCAGCTTAAGGAAAAATATAAAAAAAAGCAACTGAAATTACATGACAATCAAGCATAAACCGCATAAAACACTTTATTTTGCACTCAATTTCATTCTTAATGCGAACAAAATGTTTTTTGCCACCGCCGCACAATAAAAATGAATGAACGGTTTTTTTTAACGGATAAACTGCTTTTTTCTATTACTCTGTTTGTTTGTGTGTGTGTGTGTGTGTGTGTGTGTGTGTGTGTGTGTGAACTTTTATTATGTGTAAGTGTATAGCGATAGTAATATAGATTTCGTGGTATCACGCACAATGCACATTTAAACCTAGTTATTTCATTTTTTCCTTCTTTTAGATAGCAAATGCAATAATATTTTATGATGAAAATTGAAACGAGTATAATTTGCCATGAATCTAGACCATTTTATGTACGTTCATTGTAGTTCAAAGGATGGATCTTTTTTTTTAAAATGATTTCTCTGCATTATATTCATACAATCATTGCAATGTACAAGGGAAGATACGCGACAAATTACGTATGGTCTACAAAGTTCAAATACACTCTTTTTACTGTTGTTTCAAATGACACAAACAGCATATGATAAGAACTTTTTCTAACAACAAAATAGAGAGACAAAGTCAGTGACAGTCTAAACTGCAATGATTGTATCAACATATAAATATGGGGGGAGACATAAACAAAGGCCAACTCTGATGGATTGGTTTTTATGCAAATAAAACATATGATGTTTTAATGTGAAAACTAAATGCCATTTATCTTCACGCTGGCATCTGGCGATGACTTTGTTTTGAAACCCAGTCAAATTACAATCTCCTGCATTGATTCAAATTTATTGTGGTCGTTGTCATTATTCAACATTTATCGTTCGTTTTTCTTTCATGTGGCACATGAAAAAATGAAACAATACACTCATCGTTGTCATTACAGTTTTTCGATTCATAAAAAAATGTTATCAGCTTCATTAGCAGACAGAAGAACATTAATTTCCTTTTCTTTACGCAACATTCATTTTGGGTGCTCCAACAGAAACTGTCGCCTAATTATTATTGTTTTTCGCAAAAATAATTATGCTAAGTCTGTACCCCCCCCCCCCACCTCATTCTTAACTGTTCACTTTATTTTAAAGATGAAACTTTTCACACAAAACTTCATGTAATGCTTGAAACTGGTTTGAAAATTGCCATTTTCCGAATGTATTCAGCACAATTGAATTTGATTGCAAAGTGATAATTTTTTATTTGTTCACGAAAATTCGAAGCTATTCACCGTTTTTGAGACAGTGATGATTTCAAACAATTGACTGAATTAGAAAAAGGTTCTTCATTTAATTTTAGAACATTCACTCGATTCGGAGGAGTGAACGTCCTCCAGCAACATTGTATGTGGAATGGAAAGAATGAATATTGCGAAAAACCGTAGTACACAGTGAATCTGTATTTAATGTTATCCGCGCGTACTGGTAACACAATACGTTGTTGTCTGCATGCAGACAGAATTCCGACTGACACGATGTGAAACAATTTCTTGTGACCCGACACCCATGTACCGAAGCGCGTCGTGCTATGTGCTATGTATACATCGGCTGAGACTACCGATATTCACATACGGGTGAAAGTGCGATCGCATGGCGACGATGCGCTATGAAATGGAAAAAATGCTTGAAAAAAACCGCACTAATCAAAACAAACAAGCGCCAATCAAACTGTACTGTACACATGAATGATATAAAATAATTTTCTATACTATCCCTTCACACCCTTGTCCATACTCCGAGAGTACACACGAAGAATATTCGACAGAATGCGTCTGCATTTTTACCGTGACATCGTAAATATCTGTTTGTGACATCATTTTTCGTTGGTACATTTTCATCTTTGATTTATGTCAAAGACTATATGGACAAAATATCACACCTAACGGCACAGCTTGGGATTGTTTGATTTAGTTATTAATTTGTTTATTATTACAATGGTGGAGTGTCTATTTGGGGCAACAATTGTCATATTTCATTCAAGGGAATTGATTCAATATTTATGAAATTTTGCTCCTATTTTGAACGTAATAGACAGTAATAACATGCTATGGACTTGGACTGGATATATTTAGGCTAAAATATTTTTGACATTCTTCAGGATGTGTCTACCATGTAGAACATAAATATTTTGGGGATGCCTATGACTGTATGGTTGAGGCGATAAACAAACTTGAAATATTATACAAGAGCTTTTATCGCGGCAATAACATTCATATCTTTCGTTATTCCAACCAAAACAGTTGAAAATAGGAAAATACGGCCAAGTTCCAAGTGGTTAGTCTTTTTTGTTAATCCAGTGTCTTATGTACAAAACGAAATCATTGACATGCTGAACATTCCGTTTAGGAATCGCTTGCAACACTGCTGCGCTCAAAATACTCTCATGTGGATAATGTGTATTTTTAAATCATGGAATTGTTAATGGCCAAGTGATTCATAGATACCAATGGAATATTTCATCCGGTATGAATTGATTTTTTGTTCCGTGGGAATTACCCAAGTCAAGAAAATAATCAGGAAGAATTGCCTGAAGCGATTCAAGTAACCCCTCACTACTACCTTAAGATAAGCCATGAATTGTGCTACATTTGGGAAAACGGCATGGCTGTTGTTGTTGTTGTCGTCGTCGTCGTCGTCGTCGTCGTCGTCGTCGTCGTCGTCAAACTTCACCGTAGTTGTTTGCCAAATTCCGACCAAGTTGATTCATCATTTATATAAATAAACTGCTAAATAACTTGAGATAAAAATGAAGGTATTGTAAAACTGTCGACACTGCCTTATGTACAAAATAGTAATTGTATACAAAATAATGTAATGTGCAGTCGTTCTGTGCCCATTTCATATTCCCAATACGTTCTGAGCGCAGCGCACATCGACGCGGTGTGACGTCATGGTTTTCCAGCAAAAATGGGGGTATTCAGCATGCCAAAGTGTCAGAATTTTCGGAACAAATCCTTTGTATTTCTAATCCTTTGTGTATGAAGCAACGAAACCAAAGACAGCTCAAAACAACAATAACAACAAGAATGCGCTTGTCTCAATGACGCCAAAGTTCAAGCAACGTATTTCATTGAATCCACTATGCGGTGCGATGTATTTTCTATGCAAACCAAAACATTTGGATTTGATGCCCCTTAAAAGTTACGGTGCTTGTCAAGCGCATGCTTCACTTTAGAGCTTTGGTTCATTTCATGGATTTGATGTTTTTGGAAGCTTATGGAATTGATGATTCTTTCGGTGAGAAAGCTTCAGAATATATACCACAATAAGTGGATACGGATGGTTTGTATGAGCTTCTACTTCACCATAAACGGAATATGCATCGAAGAATAAAAAGCTTTAAAAAGTCTTTTTTAAAAAAGCTTTCCGACAGAAATACTGCATTTCACATCGAACGGAGAGAACAATTTGAAAAACCATAATAATTTCAAAATACAAGACGATACAAATATTAACATCAATAAGTGGTCTATCTCGGTCAAAATGGGGATCAAGTAATCATACCTTTTATGTGCTATTACATTTTCAGAGCTATCCCAAGAGATGCTTCGTCGTCGAAACTGGTGCGTTTTTCGATAGCGTGACCATCGACGCGATGAGCCTCCACCACCGATTTCCAATAAGTTCGGCACAGAACCATTTGGATCGATACGTTGCCCAGCCAAATTATTATTTGATGATCGAAATTCGGTGTTTTCATCAATAATATGATCAACGCTGCGCAGCGATTTGCTTTGATTTAACAACGACGATGCTGTTTTCCGACTCGATGGGCTCAATAATCGTGATAAATTGTTTAACGAACTATAATTACAGTTTTTGTCACAAATCGCATTTTTCGAGCCGAACGATTCGCTCGCACTAGATTGCATTAAATTGCCAAGGAATCGGGTGGCACTACGTGACTTTCTCGGTGATGGAAAAATAACGCTGGAGCTTTGGGTTCGCAAGAATGCTGGGGGGATACCACTTTTCTTTTGGTCATTTAAAACGTCGTCGAAGCTCATCGTACCGGAAAAACTATTGTCATTGCGGACCGACGAATGACGCCATCCGTCATTTTCTTTACGAATCTCACGTTTATTTTTATCACTCGCCATTTTCAACTCTTTTTTCTTCACTTTTCTATCCACCAAAATATTTGCTTAAATTAATCGCCAAATGTAACAGGAAGAGAAAGTGAAAGTGATAAAAAAGCGTAAATAACTCAACAAAACACACTCGAAGAATTATAAAAGGGTATCAAAACCCATCGGCACATTTAAACCTTTTTCCACTGAGGTGAATCAATCACCATTTCTTCTCGATAATTGAGTTTTTATCTTGTTATTATTTGCGTTTGCTTTATTGAATACACATTTACTCATCCACTCGATATCTTTGTTATGTGTTTGAGTTTTGGATTGTACTGTTTGTTTGTTTATTTGTCTGTTTATTTGCATATATACCCTTTCCAAGTACCATTTTTATTAACATTTTCTGAAGATGTATGCGTTTAGTTTACTACTTTGTTTATTTGTACAAAACGTAAAACTTCTCAACGACCAATATCGCGTTGATAAAACTGTATACTCCTTTGGTTGTTTTTATCCGTGCTAAAAAAAAGGCTCTTAAAATTAATGACCCTTTGAATGCTTACGATAATCGTCGTTCAACTATGTCTCTTTGTAAGTATAGTTCGTGTGTTGTTCTTAAGCATTCAGCTTAATCATGGCTCAAGCTACAGATGGGCGGACTATCTGATTAAGATTAATTAATCTTAATCAAACACCCACAATTCGCGATGATTAATACGACCACTTAATCAATTAATCGCTATTAATCATGAATTATGATTAAGTGATTGTGCAATAAATTAATTAATCATCGATGATGATTAAGTTGTTGTCTTAAACACGATGTCGCCGTGATTAACTGTGACAACTTAATCATGATTAAGTAAATAGTTAATCATGATTAAGTAAATTCTTAAACATGATTAAGATGTGATTAACGAAATGATTGTGTAGATTTATTAATCATTAGACGCCATAAATGCAGAAATGTTGAAAATGATTCCCATTTTCCATTCTTTAAACGTTTACTTTCAATTCGGAATGGCGTCTAATGATTAATAAATCTACACAATCATTTCGTTAATCACATCTTAATCATGTTTAAGAATTTACTTAATCATGATTAACTATTTACTTAATCATGATTAAGTTGTCACAGTTAATCACGGCGACATCGTGATTAAGACAACAACTTAATCATCATCGATGATTAATAGCGATTAAGTGATTAAGTGCCATCTTAATCATCCGAAAAATGATTGTGCAAGTGATTAAGTAATCGCAAAACGCCCACCTGTAGCTCAAGCCCATTAAACGAACAAAGAGAAAGAAAGGAAAATCACAATGAAAATCAATTGAATAGATCGAGTGTCACATGCTTGAATTACAGCATATTCAGCGCATTTTTCATGAAGTTGTCATTTTTTTCTTCTGCAAGTCCGTTCAACGTAAAGATCAATTAGTGGATAGATTTTTACGCACTGATACATGTGTCACGCTGCCAATGAAAACAATCCATTGTAATATACATCCCTCACAATTCACATTGTTTGCGCGCTTGTCATTTCTCCAAACGCTAACATCCGTTATTGTTATTGTTTCGGAAGAGCTTTTTATTGGGAGTGCTTTCGCATAATTGAAGGGTTTATTCACGGAATTAAGTCAACAATTAGTATTCACATGGAAATGTAAACATGTGACAACGTTGTTGAGCTTAATTGATATGCGCTAAAATACGTTCATCAGATTTTCTAGTATTTTCGTCATCAAATCATCACGAATATCGCTTGTTGTATGACGCGATTTTGTAAAAGATACGCAGATCCATTCCGATTCGTAGACATTGAATTGCAAATCGAAGGCACACTTTTTGTCGGAATTGAGCTCAGTTCACGGCATTGAGACATCGCCTACTGGCCTTGCCACCAAATCAATAACATGGAGGTCTCCTGAGCAAAATAACTGATTATTAATTCTTATCACGTGCCTTAAAATTCCTTGTTTGTTGCATCGCATCGGCGATAACAATTTCTCGTGGCAACGGCATTGTAAACGAAGACAAGAAAAGAGGATACGGTGTTTCAAGGAGGAAAAACAGTGAAGTTGCTCTACGGTCGCACATTCAGCAATGTCAACCGTTTGATGTTCAGCATCTAGTGACAATATATACAGAGCGAACATAATAAACATTGGAGAAATGTGCGCGTTGAACGTTTCACACACAACTGTCGAATATATGTACGTTTACTAGCTATAAAAATGGAAATAATGTTCATTTGAATGGGATACGTATCAATAAAAATCGACTCGTTACGTTGCTTCGATTTTCGATTAAGATTACTTATGCGTCCGGAAAATGAACGAGTGAGCGAACGAACGAGTGAGACAACGGTTGTGCATGTCTTGTGAATAAA